TGGTCTCACCGGCGAAGGTGTATTGGGCTCGAAGACGCGGTGAACACAACCGCCTCGAGCGTACCGCTCAAACACGAGCCGAGGGTGGACCTCCGTCAAGTCCTCCTCTCGCGCAGGCCGGGGTTGAGACACTTGGCCACGGCTGTGGCTCGACGACCGTCGCCACGTCTTTCCACTCGATGTTGCTGACCGCCATGTGGTTTGAACGCTTCGCTACCCGGCCGCCGCGGGCACCTCGGCGCCGGCATCATCCTCCGCGGCATCAAGGAGATCCGCCATAAAGCAGCGCCCAGCAAGCCAGGGACAGATGACACAGGCGACTTGAGCGCGTATCACCCAAAACTATTCACTTTTGAGCGCCATATGCGCAGGAGGTGCGTATGTCAACATGCGCGCCTGCACGTGTGAGCGCTCATATTGACTAATATTCGCGTCTGCATGTGTGGGAGCGTATGCTGACCACCAAGCACCCACGCCGACACCGCGAGTACTAGCTAAGATAGGCGCCACAAGCGTGGGCGCTCATCTCAAGATACGCAGCTACACGTGTAGGCGCGAGCCTTACTCAAGATAAGCGCCCAGACACGAAGACGCGTATCTGGGCTGCCTGGACGCAGACGCGCATCCTCATGTGTGGGCGCTCATCTTAGTTAATACTCGCGTCCACACTTGCAGGTGCGTATATGGGCTCGGTGCACATGAGCACTTACACGTCAGGGCGCGAGCCTTAGCTAAGATACGCGCCTACACGTGTCGCCGTGGTCATTTTTGACCCACTTTCCGGGGTTTGGCAGGAAACCGCCGCACGCGCCGCTGCCCCGCCGCCGGTACGATGTCTGCTTACACGCCGCCGCCGAGCAGCCTGGCGGGCCCCGCGCTGGACCAGTGCGCGCAGCTGGCGTGGCCCGAGGCGGCCGGCGCGGCGGTGATCATTCTGGCCTTTGCCACGGCGCTGCCGCCCGACTGGCTGCTCGGGCCGTCGGCCGCCAAGTTCGACTTCCCGCTGGTGCTGCTGGGGCTCGGGCAGCAGCTGGGCGGCATGGGCAACGCGGTGCGAGAGAAGTTCTACGCGGTTGCGCGCGCCGCGGCGCTGCTCCGCCGACTGGCCCCTCGCGCGGCCGTCATTGTCGTCGACGCGTGGGACACGATGGTCGTCAACGGAGTCACGGCCTCGACGGAGACGCTGCTGCGCCGCGTCAGTCGCGGCGATCGGCAGCTCCTCAGCGGCGAGTGCAACTCGTGGCCGCGGTGCTACCGCCCGCTGCTCGCCGCCGACGATGCTGGCCGCCGGTGCCTGGGTCAGCCGGGCGCCTTGTGCTTTGGTAATTCGGGCGCGTACGCGGCGAGCGCAGCGGCTCTCGTGGATGCGCTCTTGCCCGCCAGCGTGCGCGAGCTGCGCGGCGAGGGCGTGGTGCCCACGGCCGACGGCGCCGCCCGGCGCTCCCACCCCAAGCCCGCCGGGGGGGGGGGGG